GGCAAAAACGCCGTAAATAGCAGGGTATGGGGTTGGTTTGGGTAACATGGTCGTAACCACCCCCCGAACCCCTGCCCCCCCCCCCCACCCCCCCTCCCAATCCCCTCACCTCTTCTCCAGATACGCAAAAATGAAGAAAAGCACATGGCCTGATACGCCTGTGTGGGCTTAGGGCTTAGGGTGTAGGGTTTAGGGCTTTGGGCTTAGGGTTTAGGGCTTAGGGTTTAGGGTTTAGGGCTTAGGGCTTTGGGCTTAGGATTTAGGGCTTAGGGTTTAGGGCTTAGGGATTAGGACCAAGATTAAGGTTTTGTTTGTGCGCCTTTTTCCAGCTAAATCCAGAATCCCTGCAAGGGAAGACATGTCATGCTTAGAGTTTAGGGAACTAATTACGGGGTTTAGGGTTTAGGGTTTAGGGTTTAGGGGTTTAGGGTTTAGGGGTTTAGGGTTTAGGGTTTTAGGGTCTCTAGGAAGAAGTACAAGGCTTGAACGTGGTTACATGTTTTTTTTCAGGATCTTCGGACTTTACTGTCTATTTTGCACATGAGCCCTACAGAACCTACAGTTTCCAGGTTCCTCAGCATACCGTCCGTATACGTGGGCTTTTTCGGCTTAGGTAAGGGTGTGGTGTTCTAGTAATTTTGTCGCAGGGCTCCGTGAATAAGGGACCCTGAGTGGGTCACTTGGGAGCCGAAGGCGTGAGTACCAGGCAAAGATCTTCATTGCCGAAGACCTTAAGGACGAAAAGAACCTTAAGAACAGGGGCCCTATGCAATTATACTATGAACCCGGATATGGTATATGAACCCTAAAACCTTTTAGGGCCCTTTTCGTCCTTACTGGATGGGCTTACCCTAAACCCTAAGACTTGTTCAAATCCACTGTGTCGATGACCGGCTCTCACGTAGGAGATCCTAACGTACAGAACGAATAGTGGGATCTTCAAAGATCCCCTAAAAAAGGGTTTAGGGGTTCAAGGTTTAGGGTTTAAGCAACCACTCAATCCTATCACAGCCTGCAACATGCTTACCGAAACCTCAATAAAATCAAGTTTAAAAAAACCCTAAGCCTCAAACCAAACCCCGAACCCTAAACCCTAAACCCCCAAAACCCTAGCCGTTGGCCCATTCGGCTCAGCAGCTTTCGGCACAGATCGTCGAAGTGGAACTGGGCCACGCCATCTCCTGGTAGTAGAGTCTCTTTCAGGTCCTTTCTATAAGGGTGCCGTGCACCCTCTAATGCCCATAGGATGATACAAGTAGGGCTTTAACGCCCTGAGCAAGATTTTCGGGCATCCACGGGACAGCAAGGGGAGAGACTATTACCAATTATTCCGACCCCTATATAAGAATCAATTAAGACCAACAGGCACGCTCCGAAAACACTTCGGCACTTACCTTATAAAAAGCCTTTTGAAACCCCTTCTCAACCCTGAGCCTCGATGGCTCAATCCCCAAGAAACCCTGAGAAGAACATGCGTTCAAAGCCGTCAAAACTAATTACCAAACTATAATGAACCGAAGCACACAACAGCCTCTGGAGAACGCGGGGTTCGCTATACCTTACACCCTAAACCCAATATCCGCAAACCCTAAACCCCCCAAACCTTTGATCCTAAACAGCCTGAAACCCAAACTCTAAACCCTTAAACCCCTAAACCCTTGACCCATAAACCCGAAACGTCTGAACCCTAAACCCCTAAAACCTAAACTGCCTGAACCCCAGAACCTGTGAAACTGCTGCTGAGATTCCTCGGCCCGGCACCGGCAACGAGCGGCCCCATGAGACCTCTGTCAGCATTGAAATTCGACTGTCTAACCCACCTTTCAACAACGACACAGTGTGGCGCTGTTTAAAAACAACATCAAGAAGATATTCCGGTCTTTCCGGACCGGTTTAGGGAAACTTGTTTTATAAGGGGTTTTACGGGGTTTTCCATAGGAGTTTTCAAGAGCTTCTGCAGGTTTTATGGACTCTACTTCGTAGAAAACGGTCTTGGCGGTTCAATAACGAATCATTATACAGGGGCACGGGAAGAAGACTACTAATCATACCGACCCCTAGATTAATGCTGTTACAGGGTGTTTACACAACTTTCACAGTCCAGTGCAATGGTGCCGCATGTACGCGTTGTTGCAAGGCCTTTGCTTCTTTTGTTTGTTCATGCAGTATATGAAAACCTGCACCCAAAAAGCGCACATGGTCCTAAACCCTGAACCCTGAACCCCGATTCCTAAACGCCAGACCCAAAACCCTAAACCCTAAGCCCTAAACCCCAAACCCAAACCCCTAAACCGTTTCATGCGCCGGGGACGGAAGAATGCCCGCCTTGACTGTCCCGGGCTCTAGCTGCGGCTTCTCAGCTCCGAGCACCTGAAGCTGCCGAGCTTCGGATTTTCATGGAGGGTTTAAGTTTAGGGTTTAGGGTTTAGGGTTTAGGGTTTAGGGTTTAGGGTTGAAGGTTTAAGTTTAGGGTTTAGGGTTGAGGGCTTAGGGCTTACCTGCAACCTAAAGAACCTATCTACCTTGTCAAGCTTCCTTAGTAGGAATTCAAAAAAAAAGACGTCCTTGAAAGCTGGGCTATTTTGGGTCATAAGGTAGGACTTAGGGTTCCAAGCTTAACGTTTGGGTACTTGTATTTCGAGCCAGCTCGTCCGCTCACCAAGCTCGGAAAACCTACGAAGCCCCTAAACCCTAAACCCTAAACCCTAAACTCTAAACCCTAAACCCTAAACCCTAAACCCTAAACCGTAAGGGGACCAAGGCTGGCAGTTGGTGCGCGCTGGCAACATCCCACTCACGCGTCAGCCGTCATGTCCAGTCCAGGAGTTGCGGGTTAGGGTTTAGAGTTTAAGGGTTTAGGGTTTAGGGTTTCGGGGGTGACGTTGACTATCTCTAGCTTCCGGGCACCATGAGCATTTTTCCTAGAACAGACAGGTCTAGACGAGTAAAGCAGGTGCTTCTTGGCTGAAGATTGCTCCAGCAAGTTAAAGTGTAGAGCATTCCGGCGGCCATTGCCCGGCACGCCGTTGGCGGTTGTGGAAGGTGGCGGAAGACATTTAGGGCTTACGTTAAGGACGAAAAGAACCTTAAAAGTAGGGGCCCTATACCTTTATGCTATGAATCCCTGTATGGTATATGAACCTTAAGCCCTTTTAGGGCTCTTTTCGTCCTTAAGATGGGGTTTAGGGTTTAAGGTTTAGTGGATGTTTCCACTGCTGCCATACACGACATGTCCTGATCAACAGTGCCCGAACACCATGCTGCTATTGTGATACATGCCTGTCATATCCTTTGCCTCCCCAATTTTGCAACCGCAATGCAGCTTATAGAAGCAGAACCGTTTAGGTCCTCCTTCGGATGGTGGGTTCCACGGTACCAAGACAGCGCGACCCACGACCACTCCATGGGTGGGGCACGCCGTGGCGCTGTGACCCACCCGAAAAACTAAACCCTAAACCCCAAACTCTAAACCCTAAACCCCAAACCCTAGACTCTAAACCCCAAGCCCTAGACTCTAAACCCCAAGCCCTAAAC